TGGATCACCGGCGCCCCTAAGCCGGCCGGAGTTGACCCTAACGGCACGAGCGACGTAAGAATGTTGCCATGCGCACCGCGCACGCCCGGCCGGATCTGACCCAACACGTGCACGCCATTAAACCCAGCACGCGCGCGCCTAGTGCGCCTCAGCGGTCGTGAGCTGGACCGCCGTCGTCACTGCGTCGTCGCCTTGTTGCACGCGTGTGTGGCTCCGCGCCTCCGCCCCAAGGGCACCGCGGTGGAGCCCCTCGACGGAGCCGCGTGCAGCCTAGCCGCACGGGGAGAAGAAGGTGAGCAGAGCATGAGAGAGACGAGAGGAATGGCGCCGTCGCTTGGAGAAGAGAGGCAAAGCCCAGAAATGCTGTAAAGGCTGACGGACATTTGCTCGTGCCGTAACGTGCCTGTGCCGTAGATTTGCATCCGACGGCCGAGACCTCAGTATCCTTCAGCCATTTCTGGGCCGGGGCCCAGGTTGTACAAGCCGGATACAGCCCATCAGAAACTGGCGCCGCAGAGCGAGCAAGCTTGAACGTATTCTGGCCATCTGGGCCATCAACACATTATTCAGACGCACGCGGATGAGGAAAAAAAAATTTACATTCATTTTTTCTGCAAAAAATGTTTATCCAAATCAAAAAATTGCAACACTATACTACTACAGCCCATTGAATGGCCGCAGTACTTACCGTCGGTTGTATTGGCGCAATTTTCTTTTCTCTGTGAGCTTGTCGTAAAAAATCATAACTTCTACGTATAAAATCGAATGAAGATAAAATTTATAAAAAAAGTTGTAGAGAAAAAAATAGATCTACAACTTTATAGTTTATGACTTTTTTTATTCGAGATTGCTTTGATACCTAAAAAATATAAATAATATTCAAATGTTCATTTGTAGATATAATCATTAAATTGATTATTTAGGTACTGATAGCTTTAAATAAAATTATTGTAAACTATTAAATTATAGATCTCTTAGGTATCTACAGTATTTTTATATACAAATTATGCCTACACGAGGTTATACGGAAAAGTTGTGTTTTTTCTAAAATAATATGCACTAGCTAGTGGATAAATTGAGGCATTTTATTCACACCCTTACGTAGCACTTCTGGAAGTCAAAAGGCAGGTTTTGTCACCTCGATTTTTTTTTGTTTTAAGGTCAATTGAGTTATGTACTTATGTTGTCCTTGGAAGCGAAGACGTGGCGAATACACCGGAAATAATCACCATGATGAGTTAATTTTGGTTCTGGAGACATCTTTTTAGTACGCAAGCTTTATACTAAAAAGCCAAGGGGACATACGTTGACAACCTAGGGTTGCTTGATGACCTAGGGTAACCCGTCGACGTTCTTGCACTAATGGGATTCCTCCTAGGCTCCTTTGCTAGTTTGCCCCAAAACTAAACGCTCTTCTTCACATAAGCACGATTGGTTATCCTCTGCTAGTTTGCCTATAAACTTTGTCATTGTTCACTACGTAAGCGTGACAGCTATCGTTCCATGGGTGAAACCTGGAGAATTTCTTATCTGCCCAGGACAGGTGGGCTAAGCTATCTGTACAAGTCGGCTAGGCCAGCGTTTACGGACCGTACCAGGTCTAGATTTGCCAGACTAGTCGTGTATGCTCTGCTGTGTTCTTCGGTCCGTTCGTGATCTGTGCAATCTAGCACTTGTGGTGTGTGACCGATCTTTGCATCAAGAGAAATCAATCAAAACTGAATAACGACATGCTAAATGGGTAGAGTTCATATAATCTTTTCCGTACATAATTAAGCATAAGAAAGATAAGAACAATGTCATTTCTCATGCATTATCTAGGTATTATACCATGTTGTCCCAATTTGATCACAAAATCTTTAGCTTGAAAACAATAAAAGAGTTGTATGCTACTGATGTGGATTCCAAGGATGCTTTTGAAAATTTTAAAGTTGAAAGAACAGGGAATAAATATGTGCTTAATGATGGCGTTCTTTATCGTGCTAAAAGCTATGCGTTCCAGCTAGCTCTGTATGTTTGTTATTTTTTGCCGAAGGCGCATGGAGGAGATTTGATGGAACATTTTAGAGTGAAGAAATCGGTGGATGTGCTGGACAACCATTTCTTTTAGCCCAAGATGTGTGCATGATGTTGCGCGCTACGTGTCTCGTTGCTCCACTTGCAACAAATCTGAGTCTTCCTTGAATCGACTTGGTCTTTATATGCCTCTTTCTATTTCTAGTGTTCCTTGGGATGATATCTCTATAGGTTTCGTTTTGGGACTACCTCGAGCAAAGAGGCAGAGGGATAGCATATTTGTGGTTGTGGATCGTTTTTCGAAAATGGCGTACTTCATATCATGTCACAAGAGTGATGATGCTTTACACATATAGCTGATTTATTTTTCAAAGAAGTTGTACGTCTACATGGATTGCCCTGCTGCTTGGAGCAAGCGCCGTCCTTCTGTGGATTGGGATATGATATCTTCACGCCAAAACTTGATCTGCTGCAGGAAAACAGAGTAGCAAGCATGAGCTTGCTCTGTTTCAAGAAAGCAGAGTAGCGTTGCAGTTGCAGAGCAGCACCGTCCCTAGCCTCATATCTTGGGGCATTGTTATGCCGTGGAGACACGGATGGGCAGCTGTGTGCTGCACAGCTTCGGGTTTCTTCTGCTGGCTCATGTAAGGGCTTGTTTGGCTCCACACAAATTCGGTCTCAATCCCTCCCAAACCATGTGGATTGGGGTGGATTTATGTGCAGCCAAACATCTGTTCGGCATCCAGCTAGCTGTTAGGCCTACTCTTATGCGGTTGCGCTCGAGCGGAGCCCGCGAACCCTACAGACCACGGCTTTTGTAGGTTTGGCGACATGGCCCAGCTAGTAAATGGTTACGTAAAGAAAAACAAAAAAAGTCAATTCTACCTCCTGAGCTATCGTTGTAGTTTGGTTTTTTTTTATTGGACTCTAAAATCAAACATCGTACCTCTAAACTCTTAAAACCGTTTAAATATTTTCTGCTCTGGTTTGGAGTGGTTTTGTCTTTTTTTTTGTTAAAAAAGGTCAGTAAATATTTGATAGGTTTTTAAACCATAGAACATGACTCTAACCTTTAAAACTTCCAAAACAAAGTTCCTAGAGATCGATTGGGATACGACAAATCTAAATAAAATATTTAGCTTTATGAAAATGAAAACATATCCAGAAAGATCTAGAAAAATTCCCAAAACATTTTTCCTTGTATAAACATGTTTTAAAAAATTTGCTCAGCAAAAATATAAAATGCAACTAGCACAGATGTAACATACATTAATGATAAATGCATTCATACTGGTTGCGTTTTTTTTTGTTGTGAAAAGTTTTCAAAACAAGTTTGCATATCAATTACAATGTTTTCGGAATTTTATAGATTTTTTATACTTCCATTTTTGTAGAGCTAATCTATTTTTAAAGAATCTAGGATATTTTCAGAACTCTAAATAGTTTATTTGGATTTTTCGTGTCTCAATATATATCTAGAATTTTTTCTTCATATTTTTAAAAGCTTAGAGATTTTTTAAAATCTTAGAGACATTTTCCATTGTTTAAAAACCTTATCAAGGTTTCTAGATGTGTCGACGCTCTTTGTTTCCTAGGGAATGGGAAACTCCTCGTCGCAAAGACACCAAGAATGTATCAATGTGCGAAGCTTTCCCACCCCAATGGTACCGAGGAAGCCCTCTTCGCTCAGAACGAGGGAGCAATGGTGAAGCCGGAAGATCTCGTGCAAAGGCTACAATGTCGTGAAGGTCGCAAGCAGAATTCATGGTCACGAGAACTTGGGCGAGGCATCAAAGGATCAATCAGCCGAAGGCTGGTGCCAGAGAGGCCACTGCCCGATAATCAAACTTGACTTTGACTCGGTTGTAGTGAAATGGCCCGTGATGCCCCTGCAATTATAGAAATATTGTTGGCATCTTGAGTTCCGTCCCATCTCGTCAAAGTAGATCAGAGTGCCTTTGCTAGAGATGCAAAAGCACTCTGATCTCCGAGTACTCCCTCCGTCCCAAAATAGATGCCATTTCCACTTTCTGAGAAGTCAAACACTTTTAACTTTGATTAAATATATATATATATAATATTAATATTTGTAATACTTAATTAGTATCATTAGGTAGATCGTTGAATATACTTTCATAATAAACTTATTTGGAGATATAAATGTTGCACGTATTTTATACAAACTAATCAAAGTTGAAAAAGTTTGACCTATACACATCCCATAACGACTTCTATTTTGGGACGGAGGGAGTAGCTTTTATTCCCCCCACAGCTCCCTGGCCTCACAAGTCATGAGACATGGCTGTAAGAAGAGCCACTGCAATTTGTGTAACATGTAAATTAAATGCATACTAAACATATACGGAGGTATTTAAAAAAAACAAAAACCTACATATAGATAAAAATATATCTGTGATCGATGAGTTTATCACAATTGACGAGAGACAATAGAGTATCTTATATATATTGTGTTAGGAAATAAACAAAAAGAAAGAAACATGCAAATTAAAATAAATAATTTTTATTAGTACTAGGTATTAAGCATTAGCATCTAATACTTATGCATAAGATTCTAGCTCGTGCAGTAGCATAGATTGATGGACTAGTATTTTTAAATTAACAAAAATCCCAATTCCCAAATGACATGTAGCACCTAAATAAAAAGAAATGTTTGCGCTTAATTCTCATGCTAATTTGCTTAAGTATATCTGTACGGACACACTCCATTCTTCAATCTGAAACCATGCAGAATTTATGCCATTCCCTTCGCTGCTGGACGTGTCGATGTGTCGCCTCAATCGCTAGCTCAATACATGTTCAGCCACCAACGAACTGGATCTGAGGAAAGTAAAAACCAACAAGATATTTTGGAGCGATAGTATGTTGCCGCGCCCCAAAGGACCCCAAGAAAGCCACCAAAAAAAATACGTTAAAACAAAAGAAGCCACAAAAAACCATACCTCTTGTACGTGAATATCTAGCCTTCAGCCAGCGAATTCATTCCCTTCGCTGGAAACAATTCTTCGCGTAAAGTTTTTCTCATTTGATATGATAGTAAACTTTCTAATGTGGCTAATCTTCATAAGTTGCTCCTCGCATTCATTTGCCAACTGTATAAGCTCAACTGCCGTATTTACCAAATGTAATTCATCAAGGATCGCAAGATACTTGAGGCCATGAGGGAGGCGCTTGAGTTCTGGGCACTCCACAAACCATAGCTTAGCAAGGCTTCCCAGTGCATCTTCTTCTATTTCAACTCGGTTGAGCTGTGGAGCACACCATACTCGTAATTCTTTCAGTCTTGGGAATGACTGCGAAGGAAAGCATAATGTCTGTCCATCATAAGCCTTGTCAAGGGTAATTAAGCATAAACTACGCAACACCATGAGGGTAGGAAATGAATTCTCATCAAGTTTGGAGGACATCAGATAGAGTTCAGTGAGATTGTTAAGGTGCAACACCAAGATGACAAAATATGAGGCATTCGTTTCTTTTTGAGCTTCCCTGCCATCCAAGTTTGCAAAGACTTTCTGGTAAACAGAGTTCTTCCAGTGGCAATACCTCATTTTCGTTTGACATAGGTAGTAATTGACAAACTGACAAGATTGCTCATCTTCAGGAGAGCATTCCTCAAGATTAATGAGTGTTCACATGTAACATCGTCAACTGAAAATGTCCGTAACTCTATCAAAGCTGCAACATCACATAGAGTCTCTGAGGTAGCTTTAACATTTTGCAGAGCATGCAGTCCTGTCAAGTTCTTTATGCCCCTAGGCATCTTCACTCCATGATTACGCGAGAAAGATCCTTCAGTGACCTTTACAGTTGCATATAGGTATCTAAGCTTTATCAGTTTAACACTTTAACTACATCATTTGGTAAAGATAGCAGACAAGTAAACCATGTATCCAGTACTTCTAAGTTTGCCAATCTTCCAATGGCCTCTGGCAGAACCTCCATTTTGGTATTTCGAAGACCCAAGAAACGCAGATTAAACAAGCTAAAGATCTCATTAGGCAGCACCTTGATTTCAGTACCTTGCAGATCCAATGTTGACAACAAAACTGAAGATGAAAGGATTGGCCTGAGCCGATCAATATTAGCAAACCTTGTAAAAACATGTATTTGGCGAAGATGTGTCGCACTGGATAGATTTAACAGTTCAATATTGGTGCTCTGTATTGACAGTCTACGTGTTGGGTGTACCAAAAAAGTCCAATTGCCCTCATAAACTTTACCAAAGCATTCTTTCTCGGCTTTTTCAATGGCAATATGGCGGATGACGTCATGCATTCGGCAACATTTTACTCGTCCAAACTCATTGTTCATCACAACTTGTAGTAGGCTTCGGTTCAGAAGATCATTCAAGTAGCCCTCTGCCACTTGTTCCAGTGTTTTATTTTCCTTTTTCTTGATGAATCCAGAAGTAATCCAATGCCTAATTAACCTCCTCCTCTTCAGTTTATAATCCTCAGGAAGTAGTGCACAATGCAAGAAACAATTCTTCAGTTCATATGGAAGATCCTCCAAGCTGACTTTCAGAATTGTTTCAACACCAGGGATTGTGTTTCTAACCGACTGCAACTCTTAACTCGTCGAACAAAATTTTCCATTCAGTGTATGTTGGGGGTTTACAGGATAGTAGGCGGCCTAAGCATGCAATAGCAATAGGCAAACCTTCACACTTTTGTAAGAACTTTGTGGCCAAATCCGATAACTCCGGAGGACACCTTTCATCATCATTATCCCAAAAGGCTAACTTGCAAAATAGCATATAAGAGTGATGGCCTTGTAGCGGTTTCAGCTCAATTGCACAGTTACTACTTGCCAAAGATGCAACTTCAGATAATCTTGATGTAAGAACAAATCGGCTAGTACAATTAGCCGGGAATACAGGCATGATATTGTTTATCCACACCTCTTTTTCCCAGACATCATCCAATACCAAGATAAACCTTTTACCTTCAAGATGTCTACGGATGGCATAAACTAATCTTCTCATATCCATAATGCTAGAATCAACTGGCACGTTGAACTCTGTACAAATTTTCTTCAGCAAGTTCTCAACTTTATAACTCTTGGACACAGTTACCCATGCAGAAGCATCAAAATCTAATTTCACACTCTTATCGACATGGTCAACTAAAGTAGTTTTGCCTACTCCAGCCATCCCCCACACTGTGCTGGTGTTCCTTTGTTCCAAATCATCGACTAGCCACCCCATGAGCTTCGCTGCATCATCTTCAATACCCACTAGTTCCTCTTCCCTTGCAAAACACGAAGCTTGATTGGTATCTTCCCTTGCAAAATGATGGGCGCTTCCAGTATGTCTCCCCATTATAGGAGTTACATAACGGTCCCTCCTTTTCACAGTGTCTTCAAGCTCGATGTTGATATAACGAAGTTGGCGAGATAGGCGGCGCCAAACCTTGACTTGTTTTACCTTCTTCTTTATCCTGGCTGCAAATCCTCCATGTTTATTGCCATGAAGCTTGTACATGAACTCGTCAACAACATCCTCTATCCGGAAAGATAGTTCCCGGATAGTCTTGATGAAGATGCCCATGGTCTCATCAGTATCCATGAATTTCTCTGGCTCACGCAAGTAGGCCTTCATGCTCTCCAACTCCCTCTCAGCTCTGCAGATCTCGCCAAAAAGACCCTTGAGGGCAGAGGCATCCTTGTAAAGCAGGGATGCACCATAGGTTGCTGCTTCTTTCGCCACGGCTGCACCTAGCTTGCCAATCAGTGCCCCGACAACAGCCTCAGCCATGGTGGTTGCGTTGCGTGCGCTTGCTAGAGTTCTTAGAGTGACAAAGTGTAAGCAAGACCGTGACCACCAAAGCTAAACCTGACAAACCAACTAAATATTCAGAGTTTGTTTCAGGTAATCAATGGAAACTTTATTTGGAACTAACATTGAACAAACCGTGAGCTGCAATGGTGTACCTGAACATTGGGTAAGCTAGAAAACAAGCATGTAGTGCGGATCTGGCCTTGCTCTAGCCACTGTCAACCTCGTCGTCAGAGTTGGAGGAGTTGCATTCTGTGAGGAACGATGCTGCAAGGCCCAAGAACAGTGACAAAAGAATCAACTACCAACAAGGGATACGGAGCCCTGTTCGCTTGAACTGCTTTTCACCCAACCCTACGTAGAATATGATTTCTAGGGCAGCTACAGAGGCTTATAGCCGCCCCTACCCAAGGGTCTCTACAAATGATGTATTTATAGGGGCGGTTTCTAGACCGTCTCTACAAATCGATTTGTAAGGATGGCTGAATATTGAGCCGCATCTATAAATCAATTTCCAAAAATCATGAAAAAAATAGCAAAAAAAAAAAAATAGCAATTTTTTTTTAATCCGAGTAAGTCCCCACCGGCAGCCACACCACCCACTCTATCGTTATAGCATTTTTTCACGATTTTCCCACACTTTGCGTTAACCTCTTCCTCGCGCGCAAACTCCTTTACCACTGCACCTCACGTTAACTTGTGTCTACAATCCATTTCGGTTCCCCACATATTATACAAAACTGGGCATAAATTGATTGTTTGAGGTCCTAAACTAATTCAAATAAAAAAAGTTGTCAACTACAAAGTTTTATAACTTTTCGAGATCTACAACTTTCATTTTGGTAGTTTCACCATCCAAGGTCACTTATAAAATTTGAATTTCAAATTTGAGAAATTCGAACGTAGTTTTCCATGACAAGATGATTTCAAATGAGAAAGTTATCAACTACAAAGTTTCATAACATTTCAAGATCTAAAACTTTCATTTTTACTGTTTGTCCATCCGAGGTCGTTTAAAAAATTCAAATTTCAAATTTTTAGAAATTCAAACGTAGTTTTCCTTAACAAGATGATTTCAAATTAAAAAGTTGTCAACTACAAAGTTTCATAACTTTTCGAGATCTACAACTTTCATTTTGGTTGTTTCTTCATCCGAGGTCGTTTACAAAATTTGAATTTTAGTGCTTAATTTTTAATACTCGACGTCTAAGGCATTGCCACAAATCGTTTCTGTAGTAGTGCAACAAACAGTGTTTTTCTCTCATAATAAATCAGCATAAGTTAAATTTCAGCATAAACGAACAGTGTTTTGGGTAGCTTCGTAGAAAGAAGGACGTGCAAATAAACAAATATATATAATGCACTGTATCTGACTTTGAGTCTTTGACAAAGCAAAGTCAGAAATGAAGATTGCTGACTTCACGAGCCCCAAGTGAGTGGACCTTGATCGTCGCGATGTACCAGCTGGACTCCACCTTGCTTGCTGCATAGCTTATTACTGTGACCGATTGAAGTTGGTACATACGTCCATGGTCCATAACACGTTGATCTCTAGAAAACAACTGCGCGTAACCGCGGCATTATCCCTTTTTTTATAATGGAAAAATATCCAGCTTCATCCTCTAAAAAGAGGAATCGGATCATCTTATTACAAGACTCACGTCGTAACGACCGGAGCGAGTTTGCATAACAAAAGTCAACTCATAACTCAATTCTTGACATAAAAGGCAATCCAAATAAGACCTTGTTTAAATCTAGGGCGTAAAATTTTAGAGTGTCACATGGGGTGTCGCATGGGGTATTCGGATACTAATAAAAAAATAAATTACAGAATTCGTCAGTAATCCGCTGGACGAATTTATTAAGTCTAATTAATCTATCATTAGCACATGTGTTACTTTAGCACCACATTGTCAAATCATGGACTAATTAGGTTTAAAAGATTCGTCTCGTACATTAGTCGCAAACTGTGTAATTAGTTATTTTTTTAGTCTGTATTTAATACTTCATACATGTGTCTAAATATTCGATGAGATATGTAATAAACTTTAGAAGGAGGAACTAAACAAGGCCTAACACGAAGAAACACATACACATTCCCTAGCTGGCGGCACGCCTATAATATCATTTTATTCTGCTCCTCAGATAGTTGCAATTGGGCTCAAGATCGAAGCCAATGTGTTCCCTTGAAGAGGACATGCATAAGAGCATTTGGTCGACATTTGTCAAATATAACTTCGTTCCTGGTTAGCCAAATAAACCAACAAATCATGGATGCTCTTGTCAATAAAAGGATCGAAAAGATTTACCCCTGGTGGGATACCTATCATCAAAATAGTTTTGGACATTCAGAGGTGGACTAAGACCTAGCACCATATGAACTGCTCTCCACAGGAACTTACCATAAGTGCACTCCAAGAAAGAGGTGGTGGATGGTTTCCGGCTTACTACAAAAGCAGCAAGTCGTGTCACCGTTCCAACACACTTGCCGAGCTTGTCCATGGGCCATGCCCAAGGTCCAATGGTGGCCAGTCATGGGCAAGTCGAGACTCCTCGCCCTTGGATCAAGGGCAGGGAGTGTTGTCCCTGTCCGAACAGAGACATTAGGGAGGGAAGAAGATAGGAGATCGAGGGATGACATGTGGGCGCGCACATACGAGGGAGTGGGGAAGGAGATGAGGGAGGGAGGGATGACATGTGGGCCCCACATGCCCGGTGCACAATTAGCAACCACGTAGACAACTTATCGTAAACAATAGTAATTTGGACCTCCCCCGATTAGCAAGTTTGGGGATTTAGACTATAGTTTTGGAAGTTAGGGACTTCAATGGCACTATCATGCGAGTTTAGATATCCACTACGTCCAGTTTAGCAAGTTTGAGTATCTAGATATGCAATGTTGTAAGTTTAGGACCTAGGTGCCAAAGCCGTGCAAGTTTAGATACTAGACCAAACATGTCAGACCCACATGAGCATTAATTAAGTCTGCATGTCACGTCAGCGTATGGAGGGGGTTGAAAACCGTTTGGACCAGTGCTAAAGGCCGGGACAAGTTTAGGGACCTAGAAATAAAAAAAAATTGGGACCTATCCAAAGTTTAGGGACCGCTAGCATATTTTACTCTTACACTTTCTAAATTTTTAAATAATCTCAGATGGAAACCAAAGTTGTAGCACTCGAAAAGATCTCAAACTTTTGAGTTCAAAGTCTTTATTTTGAATTCACTTAAAAATTTAAATATGTATTACAATATTGACTAAATTGAATATTAAAAGGACTGTATCAATTATTTAGTTACAAGTAACTTTGAGATGTAGTGCTTAAGGAAGCAACAATTGAGGGCGAGGTCTTAAGTTCCAACCCCACAACCGAATGCGTATGAAGAATTGCGTGGCTTGTTAGTGAGGCTATTGGGTGGGCTTCTCTTTGTTTTTTTTGCTGTTTTTTTGGCTCATTTTGCAAATTCTAAAAATCAATTTATAAAGACGTTTGAGATTGAGTTTGCCTCTAAAGTCAATTTCTAGAGACGGGTTGCCGCCTCTGTAGCTCGCATCTAGAAATCATTCTAGAGGTAGCTGGAGCAACCACATCTACAAATTATCTACAGCCGCCTTTAAAAATGCTAGTTGTAGCAGTGATAGTCGGCGCGTTCGCGTTATGGTTACATTTGTGGAGAAAACAAAGCTTTTATCATGTGCATGGGTCATCTATCGAGCGGCAAATTAAAAACAAAGCTCGGATCGTAGAAAACTAAGTGGTGAATGTGTCATTGTCACAACGAACATATTGGTACAAATATTTAAATCATATTGTGGTAGGGATGTGCTCACATGAAGTGGCAAAAAAGGACGTTATTTGAATATGTACTCTGTGTTTTGATTATACTAAGAGCATCACCAAGAAACTTTCTAAAGTAGCGTTTGGTTGGGAGACAATATGGAGTAGGATGGTCCTGTCTCTGGTTCTTGGGACGGGACGACTTTATTTTCTGTTTGGTTGAGGAGAGATGGGACCAACCCATTTTCTGTTTGGTGTAAAGACATCAAAAGTGGAACCAGCCACTTATGTGTGGGGCCCATTTATCAAATTTTTTATGTTTTTTTCTTTTCCTTTCTCTTCTCCCTGTCTCTTTCTTCCCCAACTACCCAACACAACAAAGCGCTCGCACTACAGAGCCGTTTCTTCCATTGGCAAGCCTGTCCACGTGCCGCCTCATGCCTCATCCGCTGCACACCGCCGCACGCCAGCGAGCTCGGCCGCGCGTTGCCTCCTTCTCCTCCGCCGACGAGCCTGGCCGTGCGACGCCCGACGCCTCCTCTGCTCATGGTGCCTCCTTCGCGCGGCGGCAGGGCAGGACCCAGAGCTTGCGCTAGTGCAATGGCGGCAGGGCCGGACCTAGAGGTCGCACGGCGGCGGTATGCTAGACCCCAAGCTCGCACGGCTCTTCCTTCTTCCTCAACGCCGATAACCTCTCCCCTTCTTGCTCACACTACTCCTGTTGGGCACACGCCCCCCATCCCACCTGGGGATGACTCTATCTGCTCAAAAAAGAGGGACGTAGAGTCACGAGATCTTCAAGGAATATCCCAAGTGAGATGTCCTTGACTCCAGGAGTATCTGAACCAAACACCACAAAAAATAGGTCCATACAATCCTCACTCTGGAAATCCTCCCAACCAAACTTTCTATATCTTTCCGTTGTCCAACAGCTTTTCGATATCTTGTGTGCACTCTAGAGAGCCATTCTCATTTTCTATCTTTGGCTAGCAAGAAATCTGGAATAGAAGATGGCTATATTTGGATAACCAGATAAAGAAGCTGTTGGAGTGTATTGTTTTCATAAAATCTCTATTCCTAGTAATTAGCACTAGTATAGAAAATGTTTTTACTCGCGGTAAAAAATGATCTTCAGAAACGGTTACATAAAAATGATCTTCATAAAATATTTAGTCAAAAATGATTTTTTCATAAAATCTTTA